TTTTTTTTTTTTTTTTTTAGTATAGAACTAAAAAGAAAGAACACTGCAAAGATGCAGGACTCTTACCCTTTTGGTGGTGGAAGCAGATAGCATTCTTTTGCAATTCCTATCGAAAGACTGTGCCCAAACTGTCCAAATTCTGGTGCAAACTCCTCCGTGTAGCTGTGTCTGGGCAGTACTTGCAAGAGTATTACTGGGCTGCTCTCCTGGTTGCTGGGGGCAGATGCACAAAAGCCTAAATCTGTAATGAAACTCCTTGAGGAGGGGACAAGCTAGAAACAGCCAAATCCAAAAGTTCCGCTGCAGGTAGGCAAAGAAAAGCAGGAACCCGAGCTGGGTGGTTTTACAGCATCAAGCGGTAGCCTTTGGGTAGGTTTATACACCTGACCCAGCCCTCGCACCCTTCACCCCACCCTGCTCCAAGAGCCTCCTAGGGAGCGTCTTGCCAAAATGAATCACTGCTCCAGCTGCCCGGTGTCAGCCCTGAAGCTTTGGCTCTTCTGCGCTTCGCTTCTGCCTTCACTAGCCGGTAGGTCGCCTTTGGTTAACCAAACCCCCGTGGCTCTCTGCCCTTTGGGGCCACTCAGCCCCGTGGGGGACTCAGGTGCGTTAGTACCTGGATGCAGCGTGTTCTCGCTTGCTCTGAGAGGAAGAGGCTGGTGAAAAGAGTGGTGCTTTGCATTGCTGGCGGTAAGCGTATACTTAAGCCTTTGGCAGGATTGACGCCTTTTTGTGTCACGGTTTGTGCCGTGAAGACGGGCGGCTGGCAGAACGGAGTCTGAGTCTGCCCCGAGGAGTTAAGCGTGAGTCCTGTCTGCGCGGGATTCGGGTAGGAGGCTTGGGGGGGAAGCTGCGTGAGCGAGCTCTCTGGGGCGCGCTGGGTCTGTGGGACTGACACTTCAACCTGCAATCCTGCCAGCACATACCTGTTTCAAGGTAGAAGGCAAGGAATTTTTTTTTAAATAATGTCTTTTAAGTTAGTGTGATAGGGAAGGTTAGTTTCCACGATTTACATGGAAAAAGATATGCTTTTTCAATGTGACTGATTTTTTTTTTTTTTTTTTTAAGAAGATGCACCGACAATTAAATTCTTGCTGTTTCTGTACCCAGCTGCAACGAGATTAATCTAGTCTACTCTGTGAGTCACACGAGGTTAGGTTAGGTTTTTGAAGAGTGTTTCCCGGAGTCCTTACTGTCTGTTTGTTTTTCAGCTATAACCATGGAGAACCTGTGTAATGCCAACAGCAGATTTGCACTGGATCTGCACAGAAGGTTTAGTGAAACCAACCCAACAGGAAACGTCTTCTTCTCTCCTGTCAGTGTCTCTGCTGCTCTGGCCATGGTCCTTTTAGGGGCCAAAGGTAACACAGGGGCACAGGTGCTGAAGGTTAGTGAAAAAAAAAAAAATAATTCTTTTTTGCTTTATATTTTATTTACATTAAAAATTGTTATGGTTTAGAGGAGGAAAATGAAAGGAGGGTATTATTTTTATGTGCTCAGGACTGTGTTCTGTCATGCTCGCTGAGTCTTCCTTAGGCTCCTTTTTGCAGTTACCTTCTGCTTGCCCTGCTCCAGAGCCCTCTTTCCATATTGAGATGGCCCCTATTTCTCACTTAATTTCACTTATTAAGGTAATTGTTGAAGTAGGAGACTAATTTCATTAATGAATCAGTCTCCATTTAAATTGATTGGCGTTTCCAACAGCAAGGCTTTACTAGTTTTCGCGAGACATTTCGACAAAGAACTCTTGCTTTGTAATACAAAAAATACAAAAATGCGAATGGTATGCTTATTGCTAATAATAATGTGTATTTTGTAAGAAACAATAATAATATATGGGTTTATATTTAAAGCAGAACAACTATGATAATACGTGATGATGCTACCTAAGTATCGGTATTAGAGTAGCAGCCAGGCACTCAGGTATTTTGGAGGGGCTGAGCCCACATGCTTATTCTTACCATAGCCTTGTTAAGTAGGACAGTTTAAAAAAAAACCCCAACTAATTGCCAATTGCAAAAATGGTGTACGTAGGAGTGTGCCAGTTTCCCCCGAGGCCTCCTGAACTGAAGGGACTCGGTCACTATTATTTTTTTCCCTTTGTTAGGCTAACGCCCGCTACTGCAAAAGGGCGTGTGAGATGTCTCATTGCAGTCATCATCGTGTGTTTGCCTATGAATAATTTCACCTTTGTATTCTGGACTTTAGGAGGAACCATTTTATGCTGTTGAGTGGTGCTGTGCTCGCTGAATAAGACAATAAAATTATTTTCTCGCTACTTGTACAAACAGACTTTGAACATATATTTCATGTAATCAAACTGACAGCCCCGCCTAGGATAAACCTACTGACCGCAGAAATCCTGCAAAAGGAACTTGGGGGGAAAAAAATGTGTTTTGGCATAGTCACCTTTGATAACACCTGTTCCCATACCAGAATGCTTTACTTATGAAAACATAGCTAATTACGGAGGCAGTGATGGGTAGCTGTCAAGGGATGTTTGCAAGCATATAGAAATTTGTTTCTGTGATCATAATCTTTTTGTAAGTTGCCTCTGTGACGTTTTGCTCAGAGATATATATAGATACGTACATCACAGCTTGCAGTAACAAGGGCAGCAAGGCCAGACCAAAAACCCAGTGAGATAAAATGAGGGCTTTCCTTTGATTCCAGTGGCTGTTTCCCAGAGGGCTTCTCTGCTGAGAAATACATGATTTAAGTTTTAACGTGAACGTCCCCGCTTTGGGCTAGTCTTCCCTGCCAGTGATGTCTGGCAGCTCCTTCTGTCCCGTCTGTCAGCCTTGGCTAGCCAGCACGCCTCTGGGAAAGGAGGCACTGGTAAAGAGAAACTGCAGTAATGCATTTGATTGTTAAGATGACACTTTATATATACACATATATAAACAGTTATATTTTCATAAAACCATAACAGATAATTGTTCTAAGTTTTCTTAAGGCCTCGCCTTTCTTGAGTGCTCAGATAAGCCCTGCGCTAGTTTTGATTGTATGTTCTGAAACACAAAACCCCGGGTTCCCTTGGCCCGGAGGGGGAAGCAAGAAAGCTGAAGTGTCTCTGTGGCACCGTCTCTCTTTTCAGTTCCCCACCTGGGAATGAGTCCTCGTGCTCAGTGCTCCGCAGAGGGGAGGCAGGCAGACACCGCGCAGATGGGACTCGGGGTTACGAGCAACAGCTTCAGCTGTGACTCCGTATAAACCAGGAGCTTAATACACGCGGCTGACGCAGCCAGCATAGCACCAAGAAGCAGTTTCATCCATTCTTTGAGGTTTACAGACATCTCTAAGCAGCTTCCAGCCTCTTCTTCAACCTACCTACCCGCTGGATCAGACCCACTCTATAGATATACCGTATGTTCTTTAAAGGCAGTATAGCAGCAACTAATTCACTTCTTTTATTTCAGACGCTTCATTTTGATGAAGTTGAAAACATTCATTCAAGATTTCAGGCTCTGACTATGGATATTAACAGAAGCGATGCTCCCTATCTCTTACGGCTTGCCAATCGTCTTTTTGGAGAGAAGTCCTACAGCTTTTTGCCGGTACGCTGGCGCAGATCGTGATGGTGTCATGGAACCTGGTGGGAAAATGCAGCTATCTGAGTATTTATGAAACCAGAATATTTCTAGGTGTATTTCTAAATGTTACTGGGCAGTTGACACAAGTGTTGCATACATGCATATGCATTTCCACATCTGTAGACATCTGTGCATCTCACCTAAAGGATGTTACACAGCAAATCCTTTTCATTGCTTGTTCGGTTCTGCTGCTCTTGGGCTCAAGAGAAAAATTACTTGTCTAGGTTCTTAGTTTACAGTAACTATCATAACATCCCACTCTGTTGCAACCAGCTTTTTAGGGTGCAACCAGCTCTGTGTCTGTTGCAATCATTTTTTTTGGATTTTCATTGGTCTAGTACAACATTGCTTAAATATTTTTGAAAGCACTGTATATGTTTGGGAGTGAATGCCCAAAATGTCTAAACAACAACCAGTGAATTATACCTTAGTGTGTACCGAGGTTGCTACTTTTCTCCCTCTTCAGCTCTTTTGGAGAGTTTTGTTTTACTGTAGCTGTGCTTGAGCCTTCTTCAGGAGAATAACGGGTAAATATTGCAATGCCCGGAGTAAGCACCCCATCAGTTGTATACGTGGCAGATGTACTATGAAGCTTACTCTGAGAGGGGGAAAAAAATCCAACCCAACCCCAGACACCCCCCTCAGGCAGTGCACTGTTAGAGCCCCACCTTAGAGCAGGTAATAATCTGTTTGACATGCACCTTATCTAAATCATAAAGAGATGTTTTCTTATCTGCATGCACTGAAAGCTATTCTTATCGTTCCAAAATCTAGGATTTCCTGACTAATACTAAGAAATTATATGGAGCTGATTTGGCTACAGTTGATTTTCTTCAGGCTTGTGATGAAGCCAGGAAAGAAATTAACCAGTGGGTAGAGGAGAAAACTGAAGGTAAACTACTTTGGTTAATGTAGTAACTGTGTTTCAAACTTTGGGAGCAGGAATAGGCTTTATTTTCTGCCACCTTTAGAACAGTTTAATTTTGCCCTGGCATACTCATTTGATGCATTGACAGAATGAGAAAATACCTAAGCAAGACATTTAAACGGTTCCATAAGTCTTTTTCATTTTTTTGTGCTCAGGCTGATGAGTGCAGGAGAGATGCCTAAACATAGATTTATATTCATATATTGGAGAATTCATTTTAGACAGTCCCTGTCCATATTGTATATATATTTCTAAATCTGGTAATCCTAAATGTGGCTGTTTTCTAGTTCTTATGAGTATGACGAGTCGTACATGATGGTTTAAGCTAAAAATATTACATTTTCATCAAATTGCTGCATATCAAAAGTTATAGTAGTGCATATTATTGAAAAGTATAGTAAAGAGACAGGTACTGAAACACACTTTATTACAGGAACGGACTAGAGTTTTATAATTGTGGTATTTCTGTGGTATCAGTTTCTTCACGTATGTTATATGCCATCAGCTTATTAAAAGATTTTGTTGTGCCTTTTTTTTTCTGCCCCCTCTGAAGGTAAAATCCCTAATCTGCTCTCTGAAGACTCAGTTAATAACATGACCAGGCTCGTACTGGTGAACGCTATTTATTTCAAAGGGAACTGGGCAGAGAAATTTCAAGAAGCCGAAACCACTGACATGCCATTTCGGTTAAATAAGGTAATACAGATATGTCTTGGTAGTATATATCTGACAAAAAGGTCAAACAATATAGGTGCTAAAGTGAAGTTCTGCTTACAGATAAAATTATAAAAAAAGTATAAAGTCTTGCATGAACGTTTTCAGTTCACCCAAAGGGTTTTTTATTGATTTTAGTATTTTTCCTGTATTCAGCAAGCTATTTGTTCTCTCACTTACTGGACTAGGACCAGAGACAATTCTCACGTATAGATTTAGGACCCTGCCAGTGCCTAGCAGAGTTTCTGTCTGCTGACAGTCTCAGCTGCTATGAGCTGTGCCTGTTTGTGGTGCTAGGTAAACAGTATTAAAACGATTGCACATTTTGGTTAAAGGCCCATTTTCTTGTTCTATGTTCTGCTTATGTTAACAGCTTTACAAGATACTGCATAGTCATCTGTGTTATGCTGAACAGAGCAGATTTTGTTGACTTTTAACACTGTCATTTTTGGGGCTAGAACAATATAAAGGTACAGCAACTTGAAGAAATTGTTTCAGTTTCTGTGAGTACTGTGCTAAAGAAGCCAAAGGAGAACCAAATATAATACAAACTCATTATGTCTTCAGAAGAAACTGTTATTAAACTGGCAGTCAGGAGTTCGATGAAGGTAGTTTTATGATCACCTGATATAACAGAGGACGAGTTTTTGCAAGAAAGCAATTTTTAACTTGTTTCCTATCAGTTCTTTAAATTAGTATTTTCTTAACTGTTACTTTTGGTGCCTTTTATCCATCCAGAATGAAAGAAAGACAGTGAAAATGATGTATCAGAAAAAGAAATTTCGTTTCGGGTATATCCCTGAAGAGAAGATACGTGTTTTAGAGCTGCCTTACGATGGAAGAGAACTTAGTATGATCATCCTGTTACCTGATGACATTGAAGATGACTCCACTGGACTGCAGAAGGTGACCCATCTAAGCTAATGCAGTTATTTACTGGATAAGCTCAACCATTCAAAATTAAAGCCTTAATGAACCCGTGTTCTCAGAGCCCCATATCTATCAAAGCATTTTTTTAGGCAATGCTCTAGTAGCACTGCAGTAAAGAATATGTGCACGTGCTGCATCAGGAGGAGAAGCTGTGTTCTGGTTTTGTAGCTTGTGTTCATGTGTCCTTTGGCTTGCTGAACTGAACCATGAGGGAGACTGTGAAAACAAAGTTAACTATGAGAATTAACTTGCCTTTTCATCTTTAATGACAGAACTTTTCTTTCATTACCTTTTGAAAGTCTTTATTTTCTTAGCCTTAAAGTAGTAAGACTGTTTTCCATTAAATGACCAGGAACACATATGTTTCTTCAAGCTCTCTGATGACTGTTACTTGTTTCTAATTCCATAATTCCATTAAGTTAAACAGTGACTGTTTAACGCACATGATCAGTGCATGTTTTTCCCTTCTGTACATTGCAGCAAGAAGCAAATGTCTGCATTACTTTGTAAAGTGAAAACTGCACTGACTCCACTTAATTTTAATAGCATTTGTTTGATCTATAACGTAGTTTTTGTATAGTTGCTTTATAGTTGTATAGTGCTCTATAAAGCCTTGTAAGTGTTACTGAAAATGAAATATTTCTACAGTGGTGATATGTAATGATCTCTGTCTTTTTCATTCTAGCTGGAAAAGCAGCTTACCTTGGAGAAGCTCCAGGAATGGACACGTCCAGAGCACCTATATTCCACTGATGTTCATGTGCGTTTGCCAAAGTTTAAGCTAGAAGAAACCTATGACCTTAAATCAGATTTAGCCGCTATGGGCTTGTTGGATGTGTTTGACAGTGGCAAGGCTGACTTATCAGGAATGTCAGGCGCACGTGACCTCTTTCTCTCTCAAGTTGTCCACAAGGCTTTTGTAGAAGTGAATGAGGAAGGCACAGAAGCTGCAGCTGCCACTGCTGGCATTGCTATGCTCTGCATGATTATAGAAGAGGATTTCAATGCTGACCATCCTTTCCTTTTCTTTATTCGCCACAACCCGACGCAAAGCATACTTTTCTTCGGCAGATATGCTTCTCCGTAAAAGAGAACTTAGCATTTGCAGACCAGTTCATGCTGTAGTCAATAAAAGTTTTGCTCCTGAATGAGTGGGATTTTGATATAGAAAGTTAACACTCCTGTCTTGAGTTCCTAGTCACTTTGACTGAGATTCTGTCTTTCCCATTATAAGAATCCCAGAGAAACTGAGGAGTGATCTGTTTTTCTTTCTGGAGATTGACATAGTCTTTAATAACGAGGAAAATCTGGACTGTAGGCAGAAGAAATCTTTTGAAATTGGTCTAGAAATGGTCTTGGAAGAAACTTGTGCCTTTTAAAGCACAGGATCACCCTGTACGCATCCTTGCATGGGTTTCTCTGTGTCGACAGCCCCTCTGTTGTCATAACTTAAAATAATCCAGTCATTCCTTATGCATGTATACTGGGATGTTCTTGCAAAGCTGAAGTCTTGCTTTTCGAGGATATCTTAATAAAATACTTGTAGGCACCAAAAGGCATGTTTCTGAACAGCTGAGTTTACCCAATTCTGTCATGAACTAGAAGGTCAGATAACATTTGTTTAGAGACAGCTATTAATAGAGAAAGGATTAGGCTATTTAAACAAAAGTAACCCCTTCCAGTCATTAGCCAAAAAACTTGCAGCTTTTGAATAAGGAGAAGAAATGAATAACAACTGTAGGTGACATGTTTAAAGAGGATTTTTAAAATTTATAGTCTGGTGACATTTTAGTTACTGAAAACGTGAAAATGGGTCAGGGCTTACAGGTTTTAAGTGCTTGAAGCTAATGGATGCCTTTCTGCAAGTTTAGAAGCTTTCAATATGACATTAGATTCTGGCCAGAACCTACGTGATCCTCAAAAAATACTTCAGCTTCCCAGAGGATGACTGTGTATAATCGTCAATAAATATCAGATATGTCTCTTCGTGTACAAGGATTCAGCATTTACAGAGCTGACTTCCACTCTGCCTCTCTATACACAAACCTTTTGTACTGCACAACAGCCTTATGCCTGGGAGCCACCGTGATTACATACTGTTAGTGATCTGTGTTTATGTTATTTGCTTGTATCGTGTAGATCTTGGGTACTGTAACGTACCTTTGCAACCTCAGTTCTAAGTGGGGTACAATAATTTCTATAATTGCAAACTGTATATTAATTTTGTCTTTAAGTAACAAATAAAAATCTTTTTCTTAAACTTGTGTTCAAAATGGAAATTTGTGCGCACAGTTTAGTGTTTCACTGTCTACCTGAAGGCTGGCTCCAAAGAAAACCACTGGTGCAGCAGGTGCGATCAGCTGTACGAAGTCCTTGGCCTGTTCAGAGCAGGTGAAAATACTGAAAAACAAATTACTCGGTAGTAAGAGGCGATTGCGTGAACCATCAGCTTCCCCTGTACGTGTAATGCCCCCAGCTGCCAGCACCTACAGGGAACAGGGAGAGGGTAACAGTTGATGTGAAGTGACACAAGCACTTGCTCTGCACGTTGGTAAACGTGTTTCCGTGTGTTAGCAATACCTCAGTTGCAAAGGCTCTGGTAAATCCCTAAAGGAGAGTGTGTATTGCAGAGTGCGGATGCGAATGTAACCCCTCCTGTGCTGAACGCTTTGAAAACCCAATGCTTTCCCAATAAGTGAGAAAAATATTAGCACAAAACGCATGTAAAAATTTGGAAGGGTCTGACGCTGTGTTAGTTCTGGGTTTCTAGGCCTTTGTCTTCAGCCTTTTAGCAAATAAAGCTGCTGCTGCCATAGATGGGTTTTGACTAAGTAAGGCTCAAAAACTCCATTGTAATTACATCCTTATCTTTATATGCTTAAACTCCGTCAGTGCATGCAAGATACATGACGTCTGAAGGCTTTTAGAGCTGTAATTACCACGACATCAGAAGAAAGATAAAACCTTGCATAATAGTACAAATCAGCGTAGCTTTATGAAGAGACTCATGTATTTCTTTATTACTTTGGTCTCAGTATTCAGTAACAGAACAATTATGTTGAGAAAAAATTGACTTTCTACAGAGAGGCTGCACAAAATAAAATCTCAGCAATAAGAATCTCAAGAAGGTCAGCTTCACATTCAACCATTTTAAAAAACCCAGCAAACCTACCAACAAATGCTCCCTTCCCATAATTCATGTCCCACAATACGGTGGTTGTGAATGGTTTCCATTAATACTCCTTTTTTTTCCTGTGCTTGTCAGAACAAGTGACTGACAAGGGCTGACCCCCAAAAGGGAAAACTGGAATGCCAACTCTATTCACATTTCTAAAAAATAAAATGCTGCTTCAACTAGTTCATGCGAAGGACGTTATTTTTAGACTTCTGAATGAGCACAGGTCTCACTGAGTTCAAAGCATGGCAATTTTCAGTATGAAAGGCTTCAACTGAGGAAAAAGGAAGAAAATGTAATTTTAAGGAGTTAAAGATACAACATACAAAGATGAGAGAATGTCACATCCAAAGTCAATATAAAATCAGGAGCCTAGCCTTAGTCTTAGCTAAGCAGCAGTCGTAAATCCACACCCACAATATAAAAAAATACTTTGCATATATAAAATATTTTGTTTATAGTAACCCAGGGGACTGCAACATCAAAAAGTCAGGCTGACTGCAGTTAAATTTCCTAGGAGGGGACCAGCAAGTACTTGAGCATGAACTTCCCTGTTCAAAACCAATTTGCAGCAGGCGGCTGGTTTGAGAAGACAACATGTGAGTTTCTCCAGTGGAAGAGAAGATTACAGCAGATGGAGTTCACTCTCCATTTTGGCCTCTCCTAAGCAGCCTAGGCTTTACAGCAATCCAAAACTCAGAGCAACAGTTTCTCACTGTGGTATGACGAGTAAGCCAGACTTTGTACTACTGCTTACATAGACTCATTGCGATGGCCCTTTGATTTCAGTAATTTAAAAAGAAAAAAACCACCACCCACCACCACCTTTTGGCTGCTTTCTATCTGATTCATACAGTTTATGTTGCTCTTCCTTCTAAGTAAATACCATAGTGTGGATAAGGATGACAGTTATCTGTGGGGTTTAAGTCACCTTATCTTAGAGGTACATTTACACAGATGAGTTAACTCAGAACATGTTTAGTAATACTTTCACTGTTAAACCTTTTTATGTATTTATATGTGACTAAAATCCTGGTAAAGTACCTGATCAAGTCCCCAGATGTATTGGAGATGATAGATATTTGTCTTGATTTTTAATATGGTTTCACTAGACAGCAATATGACCAGTGCAATTCACTTGAACCTATTGAGATAAAAAGGTGCAATTGAAGTCAGAACCTGGCTGCTATTTCTTTTTTTTTTCTTCTTTTTTTTAACTATAGCAAACCTGCCATGATCTGTCTTGTCATCTTATGGTACCCACTAAATACATATTCTGATCCATATTCATTAAGGGCCCTATGCAATCCCTGACTACTTAATAACAATAAAAGACAAGAGCCACAGCCACAATCCTGGAGAGCGCAGCCTGTCTGGAAACACGCTGAACACGCGCAGTGGCTGCTGCCAATTCAGATGATGAATTCACCACGTCAGCCAGAAAATGTTGTATCTTCAGGTTAAATAGAACTTCAAACAACCAGCTTGTATAATCACTTTCATTTTTGAGTTGTATCATGGAAAATGATAGACAGTCATTTTGGCCAAGAACTTTTCTTTCAACACGAGAGAAAACATTCATGGAAAAGGGGAAAAAAATGCAGCCCAGAGGTTAACTGAGGATTTAAACCCTTTGTGCATGGAAAACAGTACAAGAAAACTAAAATAGAAGTCATGATTTCACATAAATATTTAATATAAAAGCCTGAACAACTCCTTATCAGTTATATCATCCAGATTTTTATCTGCAAGAGTCAAACTAGCTAAATAATGGAAACAATATTCATTAGATAATTTTTTAAAAAACTGCAATGGAATTCATTGGGGGCATTATTTATTTGATGTTTCTGGTCTTGCTAGCCATATCTTTGATGTTAGTATGTTACTATTGGGAGAAACAATTTACATCAGTACAAGTTTTTTCTCACGTATATTGAATTCCACAGCATGGGCCATGGTGTGGCCTTTCTCATGGTCTGCTTTACTTCTTAGTGGAACAACTTATATGAGAGAAAGAGGTAGTGGTATGGCAGATTTTGATGGTGATCCTTACAGTGGAAGCATCTGTCACCTTATGTGATCCAAATCTCAACCCCAATTTTTTGATGACACTGCAATATTTGGTATTTCCTTAAAGCTCTACACTCTGAAGATAAATAAATACACCAGTATATCAGCATGCAATTCTTAAGAAGAAACCATTCTTGGCCTTAAGTGAGCTTCAAAAGGTAAGCCCCAGGGACTCGAAAGCCTGAAAACGAAGATATATACTTCACCATTTTTTAATTTAATGCTTTCATCTTGTGCTTTTGAAGCAATTTCACTGGGAGATTGGCTTCTGCTTGTTGAAAGCAGCAGTGCCGATCCTACATGGAGACTTTACGCATCATCCTGAGAGGTTACGGACATTTTTGCCTTGGGTGTGTTTCAGAGCGACAGGAAATGGCGCGGGGCGAAATGTCCATCTGGTCCCGACGGACTCCTTAATGCAGCATGGAGTTCTTCAAACAGCGGAGATGACCCTCTTTAGAAGGAATATAACAGAGATGTACATCAGCAGGAGGGAGAGAGCAGGGAGCAGCCACTCCGTTTCCAGTATATTAGCACCTTGCTAAGTACCATAGGGAGGAAGGGAAAAGGTAAATAATACTTTGCTTGGAAAGAGGCCACGAGGCACGATGGCTTTGAAACTTTAACTACTTGTTGCCAACATTTTAGCAGCCTGTTAGACTGCACTGCCTGATGGAGCTGTCCTGAGAGGCACAATCTCTTTTCACGCAGGACTGACAGACAAACCTACCTGGGGTTGAGGAATGAAAAAGCACCTCCAAAGGGTTTGCCAAGCTGTGCTGCCCTCTGAAGGCGAGCACACGCTGCTCAGGTTTACTCCAGCACTGGGAAAGTTACCTCGACTAACCCTGCTCTGAAACTGGGGCACGGCCGGGAACAACTGATAGTTTCCAAGGAAGGGGAGGAGTAGGGGAAGGAGATGAGGACAAGGCATCCTACCCAGCAGTGCACGCAGTAAACTCAGTCACAAGGAAAAACAGCAGCGTGCATCCACCTCATATAACA